GTATAGTCCTGATTGACGTTTAATCGCCTTTCTCTGTCTAGCACACAGGGATCAATGGATTGTTTGTTTTCCCACTAATTTGTTCCCCTCTTGCTTGCACTCCTTCAAATTCAATGGTGCATAAGTGTGCGCCGTTCAAACGTCAAAAAGCTCTATTGGCGAAACTCTTCTGAACGGTGACTAAATTGTGCCGATTGTAGAAGATTTTTTGAAGAAGTCTGTTTTCAATGGTTGTTGAGTAGACTTCCAAAAACAGTGTCTGTAAATAGATTAGAAGCCCTTGAAAATAATGCTAATGGTGCGAAACACGTACAACAAAGCCATAACCGAAATGGGAATGGCCGTAGAATATCCTGCAACCTGCGATGGTCAAATTTTGAAAAGAAGGATACGGCAGGATATTCTATGAGAGTTCAGCTTAATGACCTAGCCAGAGTTGCGACCTCAATCACGATCGTCAAACAGCTGATGGTAGTAACGCTTAATACATTCAATGTGCTTGTCGAAGCACTCTCCATGACCATCCATCAAGTTGCCGAAAGAAGTAAAAAGCAACTGGTGAATGTCGTCTTGGGTGGTGATCCATCACCGATATGATCATTTCCGACAATCACGACAATCTTCTGTGTTCGTTTTGTACCAGTTGCTGCTTTGCTTGCTTATGTGAGTGTGTTGGTGAGTGAGCCCAACAGCTTCCGTTTCATTTTTTCTCATCATCGTACTGCAGAAGTCTTCACTGGTTTCGCTGTGCTTTACATCATCAGCAGCGCGAGTGTTAAGGCCGGCGCACAATACATACGTTTTCGGGTTTTTTGATGGATAATGCATGGGCTAACTGTCAAAAAACCTGAAAACGTATCTATTGTGCGCCGGCCTTTACGTTTTGCCTGTGAGCAGCGACCATTACTGGTGATTGTTGTTTGCCATGGCTCTACCTCTCACTGTGTGACAAAACGTTCTGTCAGCGATAGTCGGTTGAAGCGTTGACGAGTGTCGAGTGAGTATCATGATATTCTGGATCACTGGACCTAGCACCGACTAATCAATAAAGACAAAAAGCTTTGCCGAGGATCTTCCGGTATGGAATTTTTCTCGTTTCTCCTGAGTTTTTCCTCATATATGCTTGCTTGCCATTCAGGCCTATTACTAAACTGACACTAGTGAGGTGAAGAAAGTCACGTCGTGTGAAGTGACTCTCCTAGGTCTATTCTACGAGTCGTGTTAATCTCTGTCACTAGTCAGGTGACAATAGTCACCTCGTGTAAGGTGACTCTCCATTTGATTTGCACGGACGGTCATTTCACTAGTGAGTGACTTTTGTCACCTCACTAGTTCAACTTGTTCATTGCAAGAGGCCCCGGTGCGAAGGGGTGGCCTACAGATCGGCCTGAATTTATAAAATTTGACTCGCTGCAGAGTGAATTTCGGTGTGCTAAGACGTTCTCGCTTGACGACACTAGGCAATTTACTATTCCTCACATGCTCGCAAGTACCTATGGGTGTGCTGATGAACCAACTTCAGTCAACGTGCACATGCGAAGCTTATCTGAATTGCAATTTAAATATATGAAAATCTGAACCCCGAGCAACATCAACACTAGATTGTTGACCAAATTATGAACAAGCAAGTTGAAGTAATCCAGAGATTACGAGCTATCTTATAGCAGGGATGGCTATGAGTCCGATTACATGACCATCGTTCATCGTTTCGTCCGTTCGAGTTCTTTGATTGTTTTAGTTGAAGTGGATTTCAAAGGATGCTGGTGGCATTTTTTCCTCCATCGATCAGGCTACGACTTTGTTTCTGAACACCTGCAAGGAATTAGTAATACAATTAAATATCGAGTCAGAATTTTATGGAACGGTCATGTTAGCTTGAACACCGTATAGGTTTGATAATTTCCAGTTTATCTTCCACCTCCAGTTCCGAAAATGAAAATTTAATCACAACAACAAATGTCATTATAACTTCAGGGTTGCCCACTTCATGGGATATTGACACCTTGATTGGCACACTTTGGTCTACTTCGGCTAAAGCCCTCTAGTCAAAGTATGGACGACTGTCACCACAAAACTGAAAAAAAGCTGTTCCAATCGAGCAAAGCGGTGCATTTTGACGGTTCGATTGGACTATTACTGTCGTGTTTAAACTTCGGCACGTCCGGCACAGCTAAATCACTCGGCACACAATAAGGTGTGCAGAGTTGAAACCACTTGTCTCACAGCGAACAAAATATTTAATTTCACTAACACAAACAAATCGCACCTTCGGAGATGACTGTAGGCACGGATGGATTTGAGTTCATTCACTCGAGAAAAAGTGACCCAAGCTGCGGGCAATGTTTACTAACCATCAACAATACATGTTCATGAATAATGAATAATGAACATTTAGTGTTCATGATAAGTAAACATTGCCCACAGCCCCGTTCCAATATACAATCGATGCTAATATACACCATTGATAATGCATTGAAAGTTTCAATCAAGCAGTAGTGCAATACTTGATTGACGCATATTTAGTAACTTTTACAATGATTGTCGCAATTTAGTCACAGAGAACAGACGTTAAGGCTCGAACTAAATTTCTGTAAAAACTTGTGTAAAGATTCCTATTCGACATAAGCGCCATTAACGGCGACTTCCCCACTTAAAAACCCTCTTTGACAACATGATGGCGCTGGCGACTGGCGTTGCACAACTTACACTAGACACTAAGTGCTGGTAGCGCCAAGTGGCAATTTTCAACAGAAAATGTATCGATGCTAGCGCCAAATTGGCCGAAAGTGCAAACTTTATAGTAGAAATCAACGGCGTAACGGCGACGTTTCCACTTAACTTTACACAAGTTTCTGACCGAGCTTGGACGTATGTTCTCTGTGATTTAGTTGGATCAAACCTAGAGGCTGTTTCTATGCACCACCAATGTAGAGTGCGCTAGGCGATTATGAGAGGAAACGTCAACCAATCCGTTTGTTTACATCAAAATTACAATTTTTACATCTCAAATTAACGTATATTTTTAAGCGTATCTTGCATATTTTCATCGGTAGGGGTCTTGTTTTAGCATTTTTCACGTGTTTGAACGGATTTACAGCTCAAATAATACAACATTAAAAATTCGGAAGATCATAACCACTGGGGTAGTTTTATAAATCTTCACTTTTCTTAACAAAAATATGTGGAAGCACCAGCCGGATCACTGCAAAATCGATACAGGAAACAAAATATTCCATGTGGATGATGATTACAAACACCTGTGATGGAGAAATTAATCAGAAAATGTAAAAACATGTTCCTCTTCCTATGGTTCACGGCGAAAATTTCAGCCCTCGTCACTATTTTGATGGTTCCCCTATTGACCACATGAGGCTGAAACGGTCGCTTAGTTTCTATTGGATTCGCCTATGATCTTCCGACCAGAGTCAATGTTATAATAAGAGTCCCGCCAAGAGTGAAGCCAGAAGTACCAATAGGCCTTTTTAATAGAAACTAAACGATCGATTCAACCTCTGGTGGTGAATAGGAGAACGTCAAAAAGAGTGTTGTGTGCAGAAATTTTTGCTTTGAGACATAGGAAGCGGAACACTTTTTTACTTTTCCTGATAAATTGATTCATCTGAGATGCTGCAAAACTTAATCTACAGTTGAAAAATTTAATTCTGTTACGTTTTTGGAAAGATCCTGCTGGTTTTCAGCAATATTTTTGTTGAGAAAAATGGAAAATTAGAAAAGTTCCTTAGTGGTTATGATCTTCCTGATTTCTTGTGTGTGAATAGTTAAGGTGCAAATCATTTCAGATTTGTGGAAAATCGTACAATAAGACAATTAACGATGGAAATTGGCAAGATTTTGAATGAAAAATGCTGTTATTTGCGTTGGGGAAAATACTTATTCTGATGTAAACAAACGGTTTGGTTAACGTTTCTTCTCGAACTCGCGTGGCGCACTCTACGTTGGTGGTGCATTAAAAAGGCGTATCGAACTGTCAAGCGGGGTACCAATCGAGCAAAGCAAATAAACATTATTGTTCCCACAGCCAGTGAACTACAAGTATTGCATTCATTACTGACAATATTTTAGTAATTTTAGACGAAAAACATTTCTTCGCTTTATTTAGTACATTGCGGTATTTATAAGTTATACCAAGTACTTGATTGAACATTTTTCAGCTTCTATAATTGTTTTTGTCTCCCAGAAGCTCCGTTATCGACATGAAATTGTTCACTTCTAATGGAAAGTCATCGCTAACGCAAAAAAATCTGGTTGCCGTTTACTCTGACGAAAAATAAATCACAAACAGTGCTTGTTCGCAACATTTTCTCTTGGCGGGACTCTTATTATAACATCGACTCTGCTTCCACCCACTCCCGATGGAAATGTACATTGTTTTGAGTTTTGAAAATCGTCATTATGATGTAAACAAATGAATTGGATGACATTTTCTTTAAAAATTTACTAGCGCACTCAACATTGATGGTGCATGGAAAGAGCCTATAGAACAACGAAAAGGCAAATGAATTTAACTGAGCGTTGCAACGCGTTTTTGGAACAAACACCTAATGCAGCGGAATTGTCACATAATGTACTTTTTAACAACACTTTTTTAAACCGAAATTGTAAAAGTTTATCATTTTTATAAGAACGAAAAAAACGCAGCAAAACACTTCATATTCGCAGCGCGGTCTACTTCGATCTCCATACTCTGGCTCTACTCACTGGTGTTAAAACGCAAATCCTAACGGTGATTTCTTGTTGAGTCCCTAAATGGGCGCTACGTAGGCTATACATATACTTCTACTACGAACTTTCAATTACACAAATTTCGGAAAGCAGTGCCCAATTCCACCTGAAATTGCTAATTCATAATTGAAATAAGCGCCCATTTTCATCATATCGAGCAGAAAACATCAAATATCAATGATTTCGACGTGTACGAATCAATCATACTTTTGGTTCGAAGCTAATAATCCTACGAACTTTCCTCTTTTCCGTTACAGTTTGTCTGCATGGGTGGAACCCCGAAGCGCATGGAGAACTTTGCGCACTTCATCATGGACGAAATCGGCTACAAACTCCCCGCCGGCACTCAGCTGCAGGACATTAGCGCCTTCTCCTATCGGTATTCCATGTACAAGGTCGGTATCAGATCAGATCAGATAGATTCGGTTAGATGGGGTATTGACGCCCTTATTTACTCTGCAGGTCGGACCAGTGCTGTCGATCAGCCACGGAATGGGTGTGCCTTCGCTCGGCATTTTGCTGCACGAGATGATCAAGCTGATGTACCACGCCAAGTGCAAGGATCCGATCTTCATGCGAATCGGCACGTGCGGTGGCATCGGCGTCGAGGGCGGCACCGTCGTTATCACTGACGATGCCGTCGATGGACTACTCCGGAGTACCCATGAGATTGTAAGTAGCTGGCTTTTTAGGAGGGACATTGAGATTTTTAACGAATTGTTCGTTTCGTTTTCAGGCCATTTTGGGTAAAATCGTTCACCGTCCAGCCATTCTAGACAAGCGATTAGTGCGAGAACTGAAATCCCTAGCGTCCCAGGATGACCCGTACGATACGATCGTCGGAAAGACGATGTGTACTTCGGACTTCTATGAAGGTAAGAAAGAGTCCGTGTGATTTGAGGAAGCTAACCTGAGAAAACCATTCCGTAGGTCAAGGCCGTCTGGATGGAGCGTTCTGTGAGTTCAGCGAGCAGGACAAGATGGACTACCTCGAAAAGCTGCACGACTTTGGCGTCGTGAACATCGAGATGGAGTGCACCATTTTTGCGGCGCTGACGCACTACGCCGGCATCAAGGCGGGAATCGTTTGTGTGACGCTGCTGGATCGGCTCAAGGGTGACCAGGTCATGTCCCCGAAGGAGGTCATGAACGAGTGGCAGCAACGACCGCAGATTCTCGTGTCTCGGATGATCCGCAAACACCTTGCCCAGGCGGGACACCTGAAAAGCCTAGCGGCGATTCCAAGTGCCATCAAGTCGCCACGGCGATTCAAATTGGTCCAGCAGGAATCGGAAGCGCACGAGTAAAGTGATTTCGGTGTACTTATTTTACGTTTTTACAGACTCCTTAACTTTGAGAATAGTATGACGCCTGGAGCGCAAAATTGGAGTACGAGCGGTTCGGGTCTCGTATGGAAAAGACAACATTACACAGCACATTCCATTTAATTAGCGAATAGTGTCCCTCCCATCCGGGTGCAATCACGACGGCGGGAGGTGATAGATTTTTTTTTATTTGTTTTACCGAACAGGATTCATCCCTCCACTGAAATCGGAGGGAAATGGACAATGAGACGGCATCGTGATATTGTAAAGCTTAGCCTAAAACATAGAACAATACAATTAGTGATTGGTGTTTAGAACAGAACGGGAAAAAAAAAAGTTAAATCGTAATGGCATTCGGTTTCGACGCTGTGAGTCAGCATTCTGCGTTTTTGGAAGATTTTTCGCTTTCAAAATTTATGTTTTTGCAACTCAAAATTGCAAAAACTGGGGTTACTCAGTGCAGTAGAATTTTCTTCACTTTTCCGGGAGAAATGTCAATAAGTGTTTCCAGGAAAATCGAGGAAAAATTTACTCATTTTCTATTATGAGTTACTCTCATTGGCCGTGTGCTAAGCATTTCTACTCGGGTTTGCCAATTTATCAGACAAAAGTTGGTGGATCGATAATGAAGGAATTTTATAGGGTGTGTCGAAAATTATGAGTTCGAATCGACCCGTGTAATTTTCTACCCTTGATTTTTTTACATATATGGAAAATTCGCTGGTAAAAGAAAACGATCTGAAATCTGAATCTGAAATTATTTGAAAGATATTTACCATTACCTTTACCATTTCATTGTATTTCTATGGTTGATGTTTTACGGGATTTTATCTATGGACCATTTTTTTTTTTTGTATTTAGTGAAGCCGAATCGAATTGCTAAAGATTGTGGATACTAAAAAAAACTTTGTGATTGCTTTCGGGTGATGTTGATATGTAGGAGCATACATGATTCTATCAGCAAAATTGCATAATTTAATAACAAATTCAAGTTTTTTAAATGTTACATCGATTCACCAGTTGCTGATAAACTAACCTCAAAAGAAACAAATGTTTAGTGATGTTCTCATGAATGAAAAAAAGATAAAATCAGTAATGCAAAGCAAGCCCCGGTAGCCTCCACAATGGCTTCTGTGTTTTAAAATAGATATGTCAAACAGTCATTCTTTTCCGTTGTGCTACGATCGATGGAATGGCTTCGACAATTTATTACCTTATGCTATGATACAATAAAACAAAAACAAAATCATGAAGAGAAATCAAATCGACAACGAGTTAAATGTGGACCGCATTGATACAAAAATAAGCATATATTTTTCCATGTTGTTCAGTTGATCGTTTACTGAGAGTTATCTGGTAGTTGTGTAATATTAATCTCCTTATGTGGGAGCGCAAGCGGTAGCAAATAGCAAATACATAAAAACATATTAATAGCCTTCGATATGCATACAAGTTGATACACAATTTAGCAACGGTACTACTCGGAAGTGGTATCTGCGCCTGTGAAGTAGTGTTTTAAAAACAAAAATTCGCCTATTGTTCCGTTTGAGAATTAAAAAAAATCACAACAAACAATGGCTCTAATGAATGCATTTACTACTGCGTCCCATATCATTTCATTAAACAATCAATGGTTGAAAGTTAAAGAAAATTACTCAATATATCGATTTGGTTCTGATTTTCGAAAGACTAGTTTTATTATAGAAACGCATTACTTCCTTAAAGGAAAAAAAAGTTATACAAACTAATCTAAAGAAAAACAAAACTGAAATGTGAATTCACCGTCGTCGTTATTTAAAAAAAAAAAATACTATACTGAATGTGGAACAACACTCTTATTACACTTAACTATAAAAATATTACCTTCTCTAAAATCGTTCTTTGAGACCCGTCGTACATGAATACACTCATAAATATAATTGACCATTGACTCAATTTTTACAAAGAACAAACAAAAACAGGATATTCATTCATTGAATGGTTGAAATTCCTTCCTTCTGTACTTTTGATTGTACGTACACTGAACATAGAAAATTGATAAGACCATCAATATTGAGAAAGAGAGCGAAAGGAAATCACCCATTGTGATCATCGTGTGTGGAGAGAATGCACAATGAGTTGATACCTGTTGAGCGAAGGCAAACGTTCTGTGTAAGATGTACAAATCATATAAACACAACTAAATATATATACTTATTGAATGATTTGACCAAAACGAGGAGGCGAATATTTTTAATGTGTGTCTGAAATGTACCGAAATGCCGTTCAATGTTTTTTTTTAATCCGGGTGATTCCTTTCGTATGGTTCAAAATTGGATAAAAGTAGCAAAGCACGTTCCGCAAGCCTTTGTCAAATTCTTCAGTAGACTTCGGATCTGTGATCTGAATTAACCTTCCAGCTATAGTTGAAGATGCTAAGTTTCAAATAACAGGCTTAAAGTACTTCCAAATATAAATAACATTAATATAACCAGGTGTAAGTTAGTTCGTTTAGGTCAAATTCTTAATTCTAAATTCGTTTAAATACCATTGCTTAGAACTAAACTTACCACTAGACACATGCACTTAAAAGTATTTATATTAAAATCCAAATACTAAAGTCAATTATATATAATCTTTTTCGCACCACCCTATTACCTGTAAATCGATGTCGGCCTTTGACATGTGCCTCATATACTCTCACTGACCCGGGATTATCACAATAGCCTATTCTGTGATAGCAGACCAACACCAGCTTCTCTGGTTCTCTGGATTGTAGGTAGTCATCGAGAGTATAGCAGACGGTAGGAGCCCAATAGTCAAGATGATGGATAACCAGAATCATTCCAGTAATCAATCCAGTGATCAAGTCGCCAAGGAGGCGACCGGGAACCCATTCGCGAGGGGTGGTCTTACGACATCTCCCCCACCCAGTGATCCGAACAAGGACACCAAGCCCTCTCTAGGATGCTGGCTATCGCGGGACAACTCGATGCCATCATCGAGTTCACGAGTACGCGGAACAATATTGCGAAGGATCTCAAGCAGGCCTTGAGGGAGCTCCGTGCAGGAGTGAATGAGGCCCAGGACGACCATGAGCGGCTTAAGAAGTGACTAGAAGTCGACGAGAGGGCGAAGTTGAAGGAGCCAAAGTCTACCCAGACGAACGCCTTCACCTTCGCAGGTAACAGCACGGTGGCCAGCGAGGAACTCCGCTTTGCCGTGACGCATGGGCAGAAGCGCGACCGGCCCTCGCCTGTTAAGGGTGCGGTACGCCCTAAGAGACGAAAAGCCTCTGCCCTGGTAGAGTGCGTGGTAGTGGTTTACCAGTCCAATGCAGCAGTGGACGAGTCACAGAAGAAGTCTGAAGTAGAAAGCAGCGCTATTGAGAAAAGTGGCGGCTCCAAGCAGGGCGAAAACAAGGGCGCTCCCCCGAAACCCCCGAAAGAAACTGCCCCAAAGAGCAGCACTGCCCGGAACAAGGCGAAGGGCGAGGCTCTCATCATCAAGACGGAAGCGTCGAAGTACGCGGAAGTTTTGAGGAAGATGAGAGCGGACGAGCGTCTTGCTGAGATGGGCAGCAACGTGAGGAGCATCAGGCGCGCTCGTACTGGTGAGATGCTCCTGGTGCTAAAGCGTGGCGCCAAAGACCAGCTTACCAGAAGCTGGCAGAGGAGGTCGTTGGTAATGGGGTGCAGGTGAAGTCGCTAGGCTCGACAATCACCATCCAGGTTAAGGACTTGGATGAGGTGACCGAACTCGTCAAGGCGCTCAGGGAGCAGTGCCAAATCGAGGTACCACCAATAGCGATTACTCTGAGGAAGGGATTTATAAGATGGATAATAACTAGGTAGGTCATGACTTTTCTTACACATTTTCTGCCAGTTGGTGAAAGGTCATTTTTGGATTCAGCTGCTGCAAGGGTAAGTTGAACAATAATTAGCTGCGCCGTGGGTGATTTGCCCACAGCTAATATCGGCGGATTTTTACATTTCTGGCGATCCTGCCAGGAGACGAACCTGGAATCTTGGAGACCACCGATAGGTAATAAAGGGCAAATCATCCACTTGCAAGGAAAATTGGAAATTTGAACGCGACCGGGACGGCCGTTCTGAGAAAACGAGTGAGGACGAATTTGCGAAAAATCGTCTCCTCGTGGTGGCACAGCCACAGGATTAGAACGCGACCGGGACGGCCATTCTGAATGCGAGTGAGGACGGATTGTAAAAAATCGTCTACTCGCCGTGGCAAAGCCACAGGATTAGAACGCGACCGGGACGGCCGTTCTGAGAAAACGAGTGAGGACGGATTTTCACAGGTGTGACGGCAGTCAAGCCCAGCAAAAAGAAGAAATCGGAAAAGAAACGGATTGCTCTGCGGTCAGGCACAGACGAGAATGCAAAAATGAAAACACTAGCTTCTCGGAAATTTGCATCCTCTATCCCCAGATTCCGGTCCAGTATCTGTGGGATTTGTTCGAGAACTGCAATGGGCACGGTGATTGGACAGGAAATCTGTTGCTAGAAGAGCAAAAGACATACGAATTTGAGACAGCGGATAATTTGGAAGCCGGCCTACTCGCGTTTGAATGTGATTGCAATGAAACAATGGTATCGCAAGTGCCTTCCGGTGATCCCTCCGGTAGTGGTGGTGGTGGAGGGGGCTACGAACCGTCAGCTCGAAATCACCCCGGAACACAACGAAAAGAAAAGACAAAGCGGAAGATTTGCAAAACGATCCCGAAGTGCTGGAAGTGACGTTGGGAATTAATTTCATAAGCCAGCTACACGCCACTTTCAAGGATAAGCATGGCTCGGGTGCCATCGCCTTAGATGAACTAACCAATGAACGAACAAAGGTTTTCATGGCTACTGAAATGGCAGAACAGTTGTATTTGTCATTCTTGGATTCCATGTACAGCTGCAGGGGGAAAACAAGATTTTATGAAAAAAGATGCTCGGTTGGCACCGAGGGGGACGACTCTATCTACGATGCAGAAAATATTGTGTTTTGCTGTGGCTAACTGCGGGTACGCTGAGTAGATAGCAAGAAGATTTATCACGATTTTAAAGATTTCCTGCAAAAAAATGTAGCGCGATGCAAGTAGATACGAGGAATGAAAGAAGATTTTTCGAAGATTTATTCACTAGTGTGAGATTTTTTGAGCATCTAGAAATGAGATTTAGATGTGTCGCCCCCCTTGGTTGGCACAGCAAATGGAAGCGAAGGAAAAGTATCCCGTTTTGTTCAAAAATACCATCGAGGATTCCCCCAACCTGAACGACATTATGGAAATGGAGCGAGATCAACGGCTGGGCTAAGCAAGCTCCGCAAGGCCTCGCATATGACTCGTCAAAAGCTAGCCGAAATGTATCCTATCATTGACGAGAAAGTCCTGGCAGAAATCCTGCATGCCCACAAATTCAGCGACACTATAACCAACAATCAATACGAAACTAACGATTTTAAATTGGCTCACCACTTTAGTAGCCTATTGGTCCCAAGCAAACGATTAACGTACCCTATTTTAGTTGAAATTCTATTACTACACTATGTTTGTTTTGATTCGCTATGAAAGTTTGACAGATAACATCAGGGGTGTGTGGATTCATGCAGAACATGCAGGGGTGAGTGAAATAGCTTGGGACTGCTTGGGACCGTTGTTCTGGTACTGAGTGAGCCAAAAATAATAATGATTTTCTTCGGGACCCAGTGGTCTTAGAGTTACCTCTATGCTATTACTCTCTCCACAGCGATATCACAGTTTGCAATACATATCAACCGCAGTAATTACTTGTTGATTTTTGTCTTCGAACATCAAGTGTGATCTTGTTTTATGGTGAGATTTGATTTTTTAATATTTTCCCAACACTGATTATAGCATTGCTCTAACATTATAGCATTGTAATAACATTTGAGATTTTATTATGGGTTACATGTCCATTCCAAAGCCTTACCAACCTCTTTAAAACTATCATAAAACCGGCTCATATGAGTAGTGTTAATGGTGAAGATCAGAGCTGATAAATATCACGGCCGTCATGTGACGATGAGAAAACAGGTCCTCTCACTATCGCGAGACGGAACTACCTATCATTAGCTTTCTTGTCATTTTTCAATGATCAAGCACTCATGAGAATAATTTTTATGCGGTTTTGACCGAGGTTTTGACATCATCATTTCTAACTGATTTAGATGAATTTAAGCAAACAACCGTATGTAATCGGTAGAGTGAGTATATTATTACAATCTCCTCGGGACAAGTAACATTAAATGAGCTAGTCAAATTCGATGAGATTTTTAAGAAAATCTCTATCATCGTTTTCTCACCCAATGATAGTGACAGAAGTATATCTGTAAATATCGCGTGAGATCTTTCATTGAAAATGACATTTGCCAGCCCTGGTGTAGATATTCACGATGGACAAGTTCGATCTTCAGTTG